TCACTTAGCTTAACTAGCGAGTTAGCAAGCTAAGTAAGTTAGCCACTTTTGTAACTAGCCAACTTTGTGATAAAAGTTTCATGAAACAGCAAATCAACACTCTGGCAATGTACCATGTGGCGATATCTAACAGTATTATTTCACACTACTGATTGCAGTCAACCTGTGTAGACAACTGAGGCTTATCTCTTGGAATAATGTTGCTTATTTGCTGCTTACGTGTTAGCCTAACTGGCTATTTAGCTATCCAACTACGTTAACTATGTAAGACACTTTTGTAACTAGCCAGCTTTGTGAAACAAGTTTCATGAAACAGCCAATCAAAACTCCTTTCTCTTTTAATAACGTGTTTCTCTGGGAATAATATTGCTTATTTGCTGTTTACAGGTTAGCCTAACTGGCTAGTTAGCTAGCCAACTCCATTAACTAGCCAACTAGCCAACAAGTATTTTGTTTAAGTCACAAACTACCATTTTGCTCGCACAAACACATGAATCTGAATATACTTTTTATATTTTATTATATTTTATCTATATCTGTATCTATATATATATATATATATATATATATATATATATATATCTATATATATATATATCACTTAGCCTAACTAGCAAGTTAGCAAGCTAAGTAAGTTACTTTTGTAATTAGTCAACTTTATGAAACAGCCAATCAAAACTCTGAAAATGTACCATGTGACATAGACAATATCTAACAATATCATTGCACACTACTGATTTCAATCAACACACACAAACGCCAATGGTTCATCTCTTGGAATAGTGTTGCTTATTTGTTGGTAAATCAGTTAGCTCAACTAGCAAGTTAGCACTCCAGCTAACAAAAAACAGGTGGAGAAATTGTGTAAAAGTGCTGAACTTTCAATCCATAACATATTTGTGCTTGTACGTAGAAACGGTGATGCTGTTGTGATAAAGCATTATTGTTGTTACCGGTGTTTTGTTTGTTAGAAAAATAAAAAAATAAAAAAATAAACGTTTTCGCCACATTTTTGCCATTTCTGACAGGAAAAATATAAAAGTGCAAACCTACCGATACAGAATGTAAATCGAACGTAAATGTAGTTCATTACGCTAATAACCATATAATTATGCAAGTATGTTGTTACATTAAAAATATATACTGTAAATTGAACACATAACAAAACAGTAACAGCTCTAGACGTGTAAGGGTTAAGCACAGAATAGTCAGCGCTGGGGACAGGAACTGTACATGACAAACAGAAAAGAGCAGAAACGATAGAGAGACAGTTAAAGAGAGCAAGAGAGAGAGAGAGAGAGAGGGAGTGAGGTTAAGCACGTATGGCCGCAATAAAAGGTTGCAGGTGAGGTGGCAATAAAAGCAGCCAGTTTCCGGAGTCTGACAGCCGTTGATAGGTGTCGAGGCAGTGTGTCGAGGCGGTGTGTGTGTGTGTGTGTGTGTGTGTGTGTGTGTGTGTGTCTCACCTGCAAAGTGCTTCAATTGCATCTCTATCCAGAAAGTCATGATCTCTGGTGACTGAAGAGATTTCAATTGGAAACTGACCATCTACAAAGAAACACATAAAAAACAAACATTTACTTTATTAACCCATTAATGTTGAGGTAAAATGCAGCCCTTTCTGATGTTTAATCCACACTTCTCCTTCAATAACATGTTGCTCTTGGAATAAATGTTGCTTATTTGCTGCTAACATGTTAGCCTAACTGGCTAGTTGGCTAGCCAACTATGTTAACTAGCCAACTAGCCAACAACTATTTTGTTGAAGTCACAAACTACCATTTTGCTCACACAAACACATGAATCTGAATATACTTTACATACAGGGGACTTTTATTGATACTGTGATGAAACAAATCAACAGAGTTTCCATACTGATGTGAATTTTGAATGAGTTTGCATGATCCCTCCGGAAACATCACAGTGCATCCAACAATAAAGGTAGCATGGACCTTCTTCTATACACTGACAGAAAACATGGCAGCTCACAGAAAAGGAAATTACCTTGCATTTTTCAATTATCGTATCATTTTGGCTAAATAAAGTGATCTACGATGTGTTTTTGATCATTTTTACGCGATAAAACAAAAGAACAGATGACGCTAACAGCAGGCGAACAAAGCAGAACGAACAAACTACTACCATGTCATGACATCACACAACATATTTTGAATTAACACCCTCATGGACACGAGTACAAACATAAGGGTGGTCGCTACTTATCTGACGGTATCTAGTTAGCTTTATGAGCTAGTTAGCCATAGCCAGCTGTTTAAATGGCTGCTTGTGCTGTAGTTGTTTGGCCTGAATACATCACAGATGGAATGTTAGGTGGGTAATTAGCTAGTATTTTCTATTTAGCATATCATTATGGCTAATCTTTGATGTGTCACAGCCTACATTTGCATTTCTGGATCACTGTTTACCTCAGAGATGACGCAACAGAGATAACAGCAGGCTAACGATGCAAAACAAATGCTAGCACATTCATAACAAGTTACAATGCATTCATAAGGCATTATAAACGTGGTTACAAAAATGGATTACACTGAATTACACTTTATAGACATGTTTATTACATATTATGAATTGTTATCATAATGCATTATAAGTAGTGTTATACCATCTTATACTTGATAGTAGAGTGCTCTCATTGTAATTTGTTCCCTCACTGGTTCTAACGTCAAGCGCTAGAACCCTAAACTCTGTAACACTACACTACACTACAGTACAGTAATGCTAATCTCTGCTAGCATTCTATTGGATATGCAGTGTTAAGTTAGTGCCAAGCTAACGGTGGTGTACATTGACTTTCCCACATTAGGTAAAACACTGATGGCAGCTCTAGTTTAAACTCTGACATTTGAAGCCTGTAATGTGCTTTACTGTGAATGTTTTAGTGTTGCAGTAAATCCTTCAGTAATACTTCAACTTGAAGCCTCACTCTTAACACTGGAGGAGGCTTTAGTACAGTACGCTTCACTTTACTTAGAGCGGACAAATACGACTTATGAGCTCTTATAATTTGTTATGAACAGTACTTATAATGCATTATGTTAACAATTCATAATGCATAATAAGCATGGCTATAACGTGTAATGCATTTTATTAAATATTTATAGCCACATTTATGATGCCTCATGAATGCATTATAACAGGTTATGAAAGTGTTTATAGATGCTTACAAACGTGACATTCATAGAAAGTGTTACCGCAGCCATTTGAATATGTTATGTCATGTCATGTTAGCGAGTTAAGCTAACTTTTTTACCAGCAAATAAGCAACATTATGTCGACTGATGTGATCAGATGGTACATTATTAGCGTTCTGATTGGCTCATTCGTCAAACTTATTCAACAAAGCTTTAGCAGCTAAGTTCCAAACTGAGTTTCAAAGGGTTACATGATGCAGTGAAGGTTATAAGAGGTGCAGTTTCTAAAGTGTAAACGTCACGTTGTGTGAAAGTTCCACCAGCCTAAGAATTAAGAATAAACCCCAGCTAAAACTAGCAACTGTGCTAATCTGTGAAAGTCAATTTTGCTTATTGTCTCCAAACAAAGAAACACAGACCCTTCTCAAGAGGAGATTAAAGAGTCGAGGGGGGCCGAGGGGGTGGGGGTGAATACGTGTCTCCGTCTCACACACACCTCTGCTGAAAAGGTAAAGGAAGTGTGTCTTAGTCAGCCAAACAAACACAGCTGCGATGCTGAAGAGAGGAACGGTGGGAGGGGTGTCTGTGGGGGGGGTTAGGAATCACAATAGGTGCTCAAGCAGCCTTTTCTGTCTTTATAAACACCGTCTCAACTGGGATTCGCGACTAGACCACAGTCATTAATGAGAGTTCAATAGAGAGAGTGGGAGAGGGAGAGAGACATTAGGGCCAAATGGTAACTGAAAGTTTGCGAATGTCTATGTAAACTCTATGCAATGGTTTGGATTAAATGATTTTCAATTAGATAAAACCAAACTGGTTACAGACAAATTATTAAAATGATGCTTAAACGCAAAAAATGCTAGTGGTATCAAATAATTAATAAGAAGCTGTAAAATAGCCATATTATCTAAAAAAAAAGTTGTAGTAAAATTACTGTTCAAAGTCAAGTTTTAATAAAATGAACACGCAAAATTAAGTTCTAATAAAATGAATTTGCAGAATGAAGTTCTGACTAAATTCATATGCAGGTTCTAATCTTCAGATATCAGTTCTATTATCCAGAATAAATATTTTACTTAAATAATTTTAAAAAATGAAGAAAAACTTGAATCATGAATGAAGTTAATGTCCAGAATGTAGATGTTCTACTAAAAGAAACTGAAAAATCATATTAAAATTACTCACATTTCATTTTGAATGCATTCAAATTAAAAATCACTTTTAATTCAAATTAAAAAATAACAATGAAATTAAGATCCTGAATGCATCATATTTCAGAAGTTGTGATCAAATCTCAAGGCAGATAATTTGACAAAAATGTATTATAAATATGTAATTGCAGTGTATTATTATTTATTTTATAACTTAAGATTGTTTCTTAACTATTCGAAATATTGAATTTTGGAACTTTTGTAGAGTAGGGTATAGTGTGGCTATGTAGGCATAATAACTGCACTGCATGCTGCTGTAATCTGCAGGGCACGGTCACCTCACACACCTACACTTATCAGCCGGTTTATCTATATGACTTACACACAACAGGTGAGATAAGGGTGAGGAATGTGAGGATGTGCGGCACGTAGACAGGTAAAGTTAAATCAGAGAAATGCTGCAGGTCACAATCCAAAGACCAGCAGTGACTCCGTGTTTGTGTGAAAGGTTGTAAGCCTGTGTTCATGTGAAAGACAGCATTTAAGAGTCTGTGTTCATGTGAAAGACAGTCCTCATGTGAAAGACAGTCCTCATGTGAAAGGTAGTGAGTCTGTGCTCGTGTGAAAGGTAGTGAGTCTGTGCTCGTGTGAAAGGTAGTGAGTCTGTGCTCGTGTGAAAGGTAGTGAGTCTGTGCTCGTGTGAAAGACAGCATGAGTCTGTGCTCATGTGAAAGGTAGTGAGTCTGTGCTTGTATGAAAGGTAGTGAGTCTGTGCTCGTGTGAAAGGTAGTGAGTCTGTGCTCGTGTGAAAGGTAGTGAGTCTGTGCTCGTGTAAAAGGTAGTGAGTCTGTGCTTGTGTGAAAGACAGCACTGAGTCTGTGCTCATGTAAAATGTAGTGAGTCTGTGCTCGTGTAAAAGGTAGTGAGTCTGTGCTTGTGTGAAAGACAGCACTGAGTCTGTGCTCATGTAAAATGTAGTGAGTCTGTGCTCATGTGAAAGGTAGTGAGTCTGTGCTCATGTGAAAGGTAGTGAGTCTGTGCTCATGTGAAAGGTAGTGAGCCTGTGCTCATATGAAATGTAGAGAGTCTGTGCTCATGTGAAAGGTAGTGAGTCTGTGCTTGTGTGAAAGCAGTGAGTCTAATGTTCGTGTGAAAGGTAGTGCGTCTGAGTTCGTGTGAAAGGAAGCAGCAAATCTGTGTCATGCCTGTAAAAACACTTCTGAGAAATATGGATCTCCATCATAATTCTTTTAAAACGATCCACCTCAACCGAACAGGGTTTGACGATGCTATTCGATATTTGCTGCGTCCATCGTTTTTTTAATTAACCTTCCAAAAAAACAATATAATCATGAAGATGGACACCCAGCTAGCAAGAGTGGTAAATGCAGACTAGGAGAAAGACATTTTTGATTGTGTTAAAGAAATGAATGGACAACATTAGCGATGAAAAATACTACGTGCTTCTATCTATTTAGCAAAACTAAAGGAGCTAACTTAGGACCAAACATGACTTGGCTGACTGACTACATTTGGGCCAAAGGAGAAAAGCCAAGTAAATCCTTCATTCATACTCCACTCTGTGGTGCTTTTCCAAAAACAAAAGCAAACCACGACTCCTCTGAGCCACACCCACCAAAGCACGACAGTGCGGCCGGTCAGCTCGGAGTTCATCCCGGGGTGGGGAATGGAGGAATTCCTGCCTGGCGTTTTAGAATCAGAGGAAGGTGCTGAACAATGGCTGAATGTAAGCCGAGGCCGTGGACCTCAAAATGGACCGGACGAAATGTTTATTTTCACAGAAAAGCTTCTAAAGTGTTGTAGCCCAGCCGGCATATTTATACTTAAACATAAGACATTAAACACATAGCTCACACCCAGAATTGGTGTTTTCCGATTTTCATTAGCAAATTTTTTAGTCCTTATTTATATTCTTAACAAAATGTTGTGGTTTATTTATAAATCTGACAGTTTGCCACCAACAATAGTGTCTTCAAAAGCTTTCAGTGGAAATATGTGCAAAAAAGGAGCAACAAAAACAGGAGTGAGTGCTAATTTAGCAAATTGGCCCTGGTGACTTCGTAAGTGCGTGGGTGCTGACGGGTGTGAAAGCTTCATTCAGCTCCATGTTTGGGAATAAAGCAGTGCCCAGGAACTGGACCTGACCTATATAGAGGCCCAGCCTGATCCTGTTACGCTCAAAAGCTGCTATTCATAAAGCGTCAGGAGGAAAAAAAGACTAGAAGTGGTTGTTCCTGCCGGCGGGGCGACCTGGGTGGTGCTGAGGTTGGGGTGTTGGTGGTACGGCCCTACTGAGTGAAGAGGGATCATGCTAGGCCTGGGCGATAAAATAATATTGATAATGATCAAAAATAAAACACTCCTTCGGTATTGATGCTGCACACTGATAGCAATATCGATACAATGGTTTTAGCGCTCTGTTCATCAATGCAGTATTAGGAGCTGATCCTAGCTCAGTTAGCCAGCTAGCTATTTTCAGTGTTGACATTATGGATTAGCAGAGTTAGCTAGCTCGCTATTTTTTGTGTTGACGTTGTGGATTATCTGAGTTAGACGGCTGGCTCTATTTTCAATGCAGAGATTATAGGTTAACAAATTTAGCAAACTGGCTATTTTCAGCATTGAAATTCTGGATTAGCAGAGTTAGCTAGCTAGCTATTTTCGATACTAAAATAACAGATTAGCAGATTAAGATAACTGGTTATTGTAGTGCTTTATTTGTGGATTAGGAACATTAGCTAGCTAGCTATTTTCAAAGTTGAGATTATGGGTTAACAGAATTAGCTAGCTAGCTCTTTTCAGTGCTGACATTATAGATTAGCAGAGGTGTCTAGCTAGTTATTTTCAATGTTGAAGTTATGGATCATCTGAGTTGGCCTGCTAGCTATTTTCAGCATTGAAATTATGAATTAGCAGAGTTAGCCAGCTAGCTATATTTTCAATGCAGAGATTACAGATTAGCAGAGTATAACTGGCTATTGTAGTGCTTTATTTATGGATTAGGAACATTAGCAGGTACCAACACCTAGCAGTACTGAATGACATTATGAAACTGTATCATGACAAGGTTTCTGGTCACATCAGGCAGCAGTAGATCCTACCTTCGTAGAGCTGTGCATACTGGGGGAAACCGGTGGCCCGCAGCCAGGTGCACGCCTCCTTTGCTTCGATTT